CAACCCAGTTACTGGAAGTAATTTGTGCACCCAGGAGTAACACAGGGCTTGCACTAGAAGATCAAGGGCACCCTGGGATGCTTCAAAAATGCAGGCCATGACCACGCTTTATACCTGCGGCTGCTTTGCCCAACACAGACATGGAGGCCACAGACAGGCGCCCTTCTCCGGGCCTTCTGCCTGGTCCCCATGCAGTAGCACAGTGGGTGCACCACGGTCTTGGGGACCCCTGGCCAGCTCCTGCTGCCTGGGTTCGATTTCTTCCTGCTCATTGTCCCAAAGGGGTTTCATTTCACACTTCTGTGTTTGTTTTATCTTAAATGCTAACAGAAAAGTCAGGGGGAACGGACTGGAAATGGGACTCGCTGCATTTGATACCTTCCCAGATGCTGGCTTAGGCTTTGCCATTTCATACAAACCCTTCCATCACTTGGGCACTGGGAACACCAAACCTACCGCCACCCAGCCCAGGGACGGACCATCTCCCGGTCATCTCCTGTCCACACCAGTCCTGTACAACAAGGGTTGCAGAAGCTTGCTCGCCTTCCCTACATCCAGAGCGTGCAGAAGAAAGGGACAAGACTTGGTTTAAATGCAACAGCAAAAGCACTTGTGAAATGCAGGGGCAGGAGAACAAGCAGCCGCTTGCTGGACTCAGCCCCACAGGGCAGCAGCTCAGCGGCCCCTCTGCTCCTGGGGGCTTGGGGCTCTGCCTGCCCTAATCACTCTGCAGCCAGGCTATTTAAAAAAAAAAAAAGTTATAATTTCTCCCCCCCAAAAAGGCCTAGCACAACAGTTACATCTTCTGGGAGATTCAGGAGGTGTCTTTAATACGAAAAAACAAAGAACATCTTATCTAGGAAGCAACAGAATAGCGGAAACGCTGAAGAAGAGTTATGGGCTATGTCCTGTCCCTGCTCCAATTCCTCAGAACAGCTGAGCAATTTCCCCAAAGCACTGCTTGGCTAGCACAGCCCCTGGCATGGAAAACTCCAGCCCAAAAGGGCAAAAGAGGTGAAAGTTCGAGTTTAATAAATGGGACTAAGCATTTATGCAGACTTAATGCCACCATTAATCCTATTAATGTTATTAATCCCTGGGAGAGGGAAGGGGAAGGCACTAACTGGTGAAGATGAGACAAGGCAAAGGGGATTTTAAACACCCACATACACACACAGGTTTTGTTTTGGTTTTTTGTTTGTTTGGCGTTTTGTTTTGGGTTTTTTTTTGTTTTTTTTTAAAAAAAAGCCCTGACTGCTATAACAGCTCCTGTGGCATAAGATGCCATCACAGTTGCACAGCTTCATGGCTTTCCCACGGCTGTCATTGTCATGGAGGGAGATGCTTGCACAGCCAGAGAATCTCACCCACAAATTTCTCAATGTATTGCAAAAGCCCATAAACACATATCTGAGATCATGCATGCCATAAAAACCAGAAAATCTTCACCTTAAAAATATCTAGCAGTGAGGAATCTGACAACTCCCAAAGTCTGGTTGGGTTTTTTTGTTTGGTGTCGTCCCCCCCCCATTTCCCTTACTGCTGAAAATAGATCCCTTACTGCCACCCTGGGATTGGGCTGGTTGTTTAAATTACAACCAGAGAGTCCCCCAGGAGCACACCTAGCTGTACTGTAAGCAAATATTTAGACAGGATATATAAGATATGGGACTCCAAAGCTCCAGTCTTGTCCCAGCATCTGCAAGCCGAACACACGCAGGAGGATCGGATGCTGTCACATTACACACCAGGAGCCGACATGACTTCTGGTCAGCCCTTTGGGGACAGATAATCAGCAGCTTGTTCCACGCTCCCGGTTAAGAGGAGATAATACATTTCTGTACGGCTTTGGTGTCAGATCAGAGTAATTCTGGCAAGAGTTCCAACGGCACACAGCGCTCCAGCAACAGCTGATGCGAACGCTCCAAAAGCCACGGGGCATCGCAGCCTCCGTCCAAAGGACATGCCGCCACTCCGACTGTCCTTCTGCGGCGGCAACTGCTGCAAAGGTCAAGCACATAACGGAGGCAGCACGGCTTGGCCTCTCCTCTCAGACCTGAATGTCAAGGCTGCGGGATTAACAGCCAGAGAACCCGCCACAAAGATTCTGAAAGAGCTGGAGGCCACGGTTTGCTGCTTGGGCTGCATCCTGGAGTGGCCTTTCACAGCACTGGGATGCATCACCCTGCAAAGGGAGCGCTCGTCCCACTTGCTGGGAGACCAGTTAAGTGAAGTGAATTCAGTCTCTGCAATAACATGTCTTGCCTGCTCGGTCCCTCCACGCAGCCGTAGCACAGAGGATTTCTCCTTAAGCAGAGGAAGGTGCGTGGCTCATTTTGCATCAGCTTGATTTTCATTTGAACGGATTTAGCTACTAGCGACGAGGCAGCCCTAAAGAGCCGCAAATGCTAAAATCAGGGCAGGGGCCCATGCAAAGGAAGAGCTCCAGAAGGGATCTCATGCTTTTCAAATCTCATGCCTAGAGATTGGGATAAATATGTGGCTCTTTATCATCTCCCTGTCCTCTAGGTTGGCCACATTACACCAAAAAAAATGGGAAGAATTACCCTGGACAAGGACAACTCAGATGTGCAAGGCAGAACAGACCACAGCTGACCTGATGACCAAGCACCATGGCCGAAGGAAGGAAACACCACACCACAGGCAGCTGATCCCTCAGGAGGAGGCTCTTAAAAACAAACCACCAAAACTACCACAGCAGTCTCGGGCACAGCACTCCACAATTTTTTTTGCAGAGGAGTCCGAGAACCTCAGCCAGGAGACTCCCCAACCTCACCCAGCCACCAGCAGGAGTGCTGCTGAAGAGGAGGTGCCTTCAGGCTCCAGGCGACTGGGCTAGAGGGAGAAAGGCAGTCGTGATTAAAAGTCTTCCAAGAGGTAAATGATGGGGGATGGTAATCAGTTACTCCCTGCTTCCACCCCAGGTAAGATTAAAAAAATCCGTAAATCAGCTTCGTCAGCAGCAAATGAAGATTGAGATCTTGATATAAGCAAACGTTCAAAGACAGGGCCATTAGGCTTTGGGACAAGCTGAGGAGCTTGCTAATTCTCCTTCATTAGTTTTGTACAGGGCAGAGAAACATCCTTCAAGGACAGGCTGGGCACAGTAAATCCAGCTTCCAGCAACAGGATCATGCCATCCCCTTCCAGATTTGCCTGTCAAGGACCCACAGGGCTAAGATCAGGAGGAGACCAGCACAGGGCACGCTGCGAGGGGCTGATGGAAGGACCAGGCAGTGCAAACGAAACAGTTTGTACAGGGCTCCCTATCAAAGCTCACCCATTTCAAAGCCTTGTGCTTTGACAGGTATCCAGCTCAGCTCAGCTTAATATGCCCCTGCCACCGTGCAGCCCTGCAGCCATCTCGCACCCTACAAACGGGCAGACACACCTCACAATACGTCTGCACCGCGTCAGGGATGCTGATACCCTGAACTGTGCATGCTCTTTGTTTTCAACGCTGCAGTTCAAAAAGCCTCGTCGTTCATTTAAGGTGAAGCAGATGCTGCTCCCTGGTCTCTTTGAAAGGCTTATCTATGGGCTGGATTTCATTAAGTGTCTTGCTCTGCATTTAATAAGCTTGCAAGTCTAGACACTGTGGTTCTCTCCCTATCATCCCTTTGGTGTACCAGCAGGTAGAGACAACAGAGGTTAAGAGGGAAATATTTAGCTAGCAGATGTAGATGCTATCAAGGTGATTGCGTAATTCCACTTTGACTCACTGCAATTACGTACCCAGGGACTTTTTCGCTCACCTGAGTGCCAATCCCTTTTGAAAGAAAGGGGCTGAAATACCTGCTGCAGTACAGTAGAGAAGATCCCTGGAAGGTTCAAGGCAGAGACTTTGGGCTATTAGTAGAAAAATCCATGTTGAACCAATGACCTAACAAGGGAGAAAAAGGTCCAGAGGAGCTGTGTGGTGGAATTGCCCTCTACTGCCAGATGGCAATGACGATGTACAAGCAGAGCAGAAGTCTCAGCAAGCCAGTCCACCTGACTCTTCATGTGCAACAGGGTGTCACCTCATTCCCCCAGCCAACGAGGACAACCCAGGCAGGAGCCCGATGCCCTGCTCCTCTGTCCTGGGGATGCCCAGGCGCAGGGGCCGCAGTGACCGGGAGCACCAAGGTGCCTGCAGAGCCCCGTGGGAACCGCTACAACCAAGAGCTCAGGAGCAAAACCAAGAGAAGCTGCTCAGACCTCAGACGGGTGCTGTGCCCGATGCCTGGGCATTGAGTTCAGCTGTTTGCGAGAAGGATGTACCAAGGTGTTCTCGAAAGAAAGGTGCCTGGCTGCAAGGTGGGCAACGCTGGAAGGGTGCATGCCAGCTAGCTCCGGAAGGAGTTTCTTCCTGCAGCTCCCGTGAGCCAGCGTGCCCTATGGAGACCCAGTCTGACGGGACACTGCTGCGGTTCCAAGGGCAATGCAGAGGCCAGTTATTTGCTTATCAGTCAGCAGTTAGCATCACTTGAGCCATGGGAACTCAGACGAGACTTTGTTCATTTTGCTTCTGACCCTGCATCACACTTGAACCCTCGGCCTCCACACAAAACCAGCTCTGTATTTATCTGCTGCTCTGCTTAGCCCCAAAGGCTAAGCGAGATGGATACAAATCCTGTTGGTTCACAACACGCTGGGAAAGATCAGCATTTTTGTGGATCAGGGCTGCAAGATGTGCACGTTACAATTACACACGCTGCGGGGATGTACCAACAAAACTAACTGCAATCTTACATTAAGAGCAAAATCATTTTTCAAAAGATTCATCAGAAGGAAAGATCTCTCTCTTTGAGAAACAAGCAGCCATAATCAGCAAATACTTCTCTCATGGGATTGCAACACAAGGCATGCTCTGCCCTCCGAGCCGTGAGTCATGAACTTCACCAGCAAAGGGGGAGGCAGAGCACAGAGAACAACAGGATGGGGATTTTTTTTACATTTTATCCCAAGGAAAGCAAGTTCAAGGTCTCTGCACTTACCATCAAACTTCTTGTATCGGGAACTAAACATGGTTTGTAAGTGATTGCTAAGCTCTACGACGGCATTTCTGAAGTCGTGTTTACTCTGCTGACTGTACTTCTCCTCCATTTCTTGAGAGCAGCATGTGTAGCCTTGCGAGCAGACTTTCAAGTGGTCACCTGGAAAGCAAAGAAAAAAATATCCCGAGTTAAAAGGATTCTCTGTGCAAGGGCAGAGAGTTCAGCTTGCGAGGCAGGGGGGGTGAGGACCCGCAGTACCACCTCCTCCCAAGGAGACACCCCCCCAGCAAGCGCTGGACCAGGCATATCAAAACCTGATTCCGCAGAAGAACTCTATAGCAACACATGTAAATACCGCGCTTTGTCTTTCTGCAAGAACATTAAAAAAAAGTGTCCTCTTATTTATTCAGTGAACGAGCAGAATAAACAGATACTCTTCTTGCACAGTATAATATGAAGAACGAGCCAACTGATCTGTAGATACTATGCTATCTTCCATGAAGTTTTTGCTGAGTATTTTAATTACTTCCAATTTATTCAGTTAACGCACAACACAGTATCAATGGCAATGGTCCTTTTTGCACAGATAAAGCCTTTTTTTCTTCACCCTTCCACCTCCAATAATTACAGGACAAGTAATCTCTCCCAGAAACAGTTATCACTGACATTAAAATATGCTTGTTTTATGCAACAGCTCATGAAAAAAACTTTAGATTTCCCAGCTCCTAATTTTATAGTTTTCTGTCATTGTCCTGGTCAAAACCAGGTGTTTGGTTTTGGAGAATTCAAACAGGTTTTTCTTCCTTCACCCTGCAAGATATTTCTCATCTGGCTCAAGGTGGAATCCAGAGGAATCAGAGTGCTTCGGTATCTATCATAGCTCCATTGCAAAACTTCACAGACCATCTGGCCCCATATAATTTGCTTTTAGAGCATCTTGTTGCACTGCAGGATGAATCCGTCCTCTTCTAGCACCACCAATACAAGACTGCTGCCGGGTTTTGTGGGCCAAGACAAACTCTTTGCGGAGCAATCCACAGTTCCAGCTTTTCTCTGACAGGTCCCACAATGCAGCACCATCACAGGCAGGTGGGCTGATGCTAAAGTGGTCCAAACTTGGGCAAATCTTTGTCAACGCTGAAGATATGATCAAAACAAGCAGTTAGGATGAGAAACTCATCCTTCCAAGTCAGATGGTATTTTAAAAGACACAGCCTACATGTAAGCTGCTGCCTTCTCTCCCGTTTCACACCCCGTTGCCAAACCTTACCCTTCAGCCCGAGGAAGCAGATGGAGAAGCAAAGGCTCTTCCCTACCTGCTCACACCCTGGAAGCCACCAACAACCTCCAACCACCGCTGAGGTTCAGAGACTCACAACAAGAACTGCAAAGAACTCGTCAGCCCCCTGCACAGAAAATGACCTCTTCACAACGGGCTGTGAACCATGCCCTTACTGAAGAGCCATCCTACTTGCTAGAGCTGCAGAAGCGGGTTTAGAGAAACAAAAGCAATTCTTGCATGGTGCAAAACAAAGCCTGACTATGACTAACACAAGCGGTTGCTTCTCTGCCTGCCTTGTGCAAGATCCCCTAACAACGTCATTTGCCCAGCTCTTGAACCTTTGCATCACTCTGCGTGACCTCCTACCCCAGAAGCATTAGTAGCTCTCCTTTCAGACACTTAAGGACCATTTTAAAATACATCTAAATATTTTCATATCTAAGAACCACTCCTAAATCTATTTTGCTTTTGCACTACGGGGTTTGTTTGTTTTCCCTGGCATTACAGAGAGACTTTGACCAACAGATCATTCTGCCACAGCTAATTTATTGCACAAGACCATCCGCTGCTCTTGAATTATGGAAAGCTCAAAGTCTGTTACGGGAAGCAGTGCTGCTTAGGCACAGCCTTCAGAAAACACACAAAAATCTCACTCTCTCCTCACAGGTATGTTTTTCTTTCACGGACTCTATTTCTTCCCATCTCAGAGCAGCACCTCCAGCAGCAAACACACAGCATTAAGGGCTGCAGCACTGACGGATCCGGCTCCACTTTGCTTGATAAGTCTTTTAAAAGAGGAAGAGGTGCACTTGGGATTTTTGGATTCTGCCCACCAAATCCATCCCGGGAGCACACCCGGGGACTCCTCTATGAGCCTGTCTTGCGAACAAGCATTAAAAAAAGAAAAGTGCCCAGGCACCACCGCGTTATTTCACTTTGAATCTCTTTGCTCTGGTTCGCAATACAGGACTAAGGCTTTTTGACACAACAGGAAACAAATAAACAGCAGCAAAGCGATAATTGCAGCTAGAGCGATGGCCAGTTTCGTGGTGTCAAAACAATTTCATTTCAAAAGTGTTGAAACAAGGTTTTTTTTCTGAATTTCTTATGCGGGGGAGTATGTTGGAAATATTTTACCTGAAATGCACTTCATTTTTTTCAGTACCATTTCCGCACGCCTGCCTTTGGTGGCTACAACTTACACACGTCCCATTCTTTTGTGTTGGAGGGGTAAGCCTCTACCCTACTTGGCAAATTCAAACCCGATAGTGGGATTTCTTTCC